TCCTAGTCTGTGTTTGTATGGAAGCTCAGCTGAAATCTGTCCATCATGGGTGATCCTGCTAGTATTTAAATACCAGTAACAATGCTTCTAAACTCCTGCAGAAAGATGGTGCTGCAGAAAAATGCTCTGGACTTCACGGTCTGTTTGAACTGCAAGGTAGGTAGATCATACCCACCAGCTGCTCCTTGGAAACCCTATACAGGGTCATCATGAGTTGGGACAACAACAAACATAGCTTCCAGAATCACAGCAGTATAAAAGCCACCACAGTACAACAAACTAACATACAGGTGGTAGACTATTATAATATTTTTTGACTGTGTAAAAGAATAGATTAAAAATGAAATTAAAAATTCCTTGGCTCAAACAAGAACAAAAATATAACAAATCAAAACCTTTGGAACACAGCAAAAGCAGCTGCTTGGAGGGCAATTAACAGCAATACATGAAAACATCCAAAAGAAGAAAGAACCAAAATCAACACATTAACACATCTCCAACCATTAGAAAAAGACCAGCAAAGTAAGCCTACAGGCACCAGAAGAAAAGAAACAATAAAGATTAGAACAGAAATAGATGAATTAGAAAACAGAAAAATAGAACCAACAAAAGCTGATTCTTGGAAAGGTTTAAAAACTTGACAAACCATTGACAAGTCTAATGAATGAAAGGAAGAAGCTGTAAATAACAAGCATATGAAACAGAACCAATGGCTATAAATATTAACAAAATACTATGAAGAATTGTACTCCAATAAATTTGGGAAATCTAGAAGAAAATGATACATTTTAAGAAAAGCACAACCTAATCCTTTACAGAGTGAAGTAGAAAATTTGAGCAGACTAGTAAAAGAAGAAATTAATCAGGTAATTGAAAAAGTCCAGGCCCAGATGGCTTTAATGATAGAGTCTGTCATGTATTCCGAGAAGAGCTGACACCAGTTTTAGTCATACTATTCCAGAACATAGAAAAGAATAGTAAACTACTGATGTCAGTAATGACATCCATTATTCTACGTCCTCCTCTGAATCTAACTTGAATTTCTGGTAGCTCCCTGTTCATGAACTGTCTTCAGCAAAATTTTACTTACATGTGATATTATTAATGATGTTATTCAATGATTCCCACATTCCACTGTGTCACCTTTCTTCGGAATGGGCACAAATATGGATCGTCTCCAATTGGTTGGCCAGGGAGCTGTCTTTAAGATTTCTTGAAGTCGATTATTTAGAGCCTCAAATGCTGCCATCAGTTAGTTTAAAGATTTCATTTATATTCTGTCAATTCCTGGAACCTTGTTTTTTTCCAGTTATATCAGTGCAGCTTCAATTTCTTTGTTTTACCATCAGTTCTTGATCACATGATACTTCTTAAAATGGTTGAACATCAACTCTATTTTTGGTACAGTAATTCTATGTATTACTTCCACCAACAACTGCACCTATAATAATCAGGGACTATTGAAATGTGGACACTAGATAGTAGTTGATATTAAAGATCACTAACTCCTAAGTGTGATGATGAAGTTTTTTAAGGAAAGGTTTCTTTCAGTGGCACTTACTGAAATATTTACAGATAAAAAGATGTAT